ACAGGGTATGTTCTGTAGATGCTGTAGAACAAAGCATTCTGTATTTGTGCTTTGATTTTTTTATAAACTAAGCTATCCAAGTTTCAGACCTCTTTTAATTCAAATCTGAGTACATCATGGAGAAGCCTTTAGTTGGGCCACTGGCAGCTTGTGTATCTGATCCCTTTTAAGGATGCATGCAGTATCCCAACTGTAACTCCTCTGAACAACTCAGATGCTTTTAGAAACAGCTGAAATTACTGAGTACCCAAGTTGGAGCTGAAGCTGGGGTGACATCAGATAGAGTGAGATAGATGAGTGAGGGGCCAGTTGTACTGACCCACGATGTGAGTAGTCAGAATTACAAATATTGACTTTAGGAATTTGAACTTTCTGTACCTGTGAGTTTTTCAGGTATGTGGTACATATATACATTATTACAAGTATTAATGATGGGCTTGAATCTACCACCCAACAGACTGCTCCTTTGGAAATAAATGACAGAAGTTTAGGACTTTATTTTGACTCCGATTCTAGTTACGCGGTTAGTGTACATAGTCAAACGGTTCCACTTACTACAGCCTGTGTTTCTATTCCTGTGTTTTCTTTTCTAAACTCTTGGTAGGAATAATGATAAAGGTATAATGATGTCTACTTTATATAGGTTGTTTTGAGGGTTAGATGAGATAATTAATGTAAATGACTAAACCAGTGACCAGATAAGCAAATCATTTAGCCTGTTTCATAAGTTTCTTCCTAGGTTCTTATTGCACTTTATATAGTGTTCACTCCATTACAAATGAAACCACTGAACTTTTCAAAATTAAATGATCATAATTCAGGAATAGCATTGTGCATCATTTTATTTTTCCTCTTTCAGATCACTTGATGTTGTTTATATACATCAAAGTTGTATATTTTATATAAACCAGGCATTAAAAGCAGATGATAGAACTTCCATTAAATTCACCTCCTTTATACCAAATATTTTCATGGATTTGATTTTGGTCTTACCTACTTAGATACGTATAAAGAGGCCTTTTGACTATTAAGGTTCACTATAAGTGTGATAGTCTGTATTTGGCATTTCATATGTAAAAGACAGTTCTAGGTAGTGTTAAGCCAAGTGTCTTTAGTAGTAAGATGAGATAGCTACTCTGGGTAATAAAATGAAGCAGTAAAGGTGAAAAGCGACCCAGACAAATGGACGCAGCAGTCACAGTTACCAGATGAGGAAGGAGGGAAGCTCCTTAGAAACAACGAACACTTCCAGACTTTTCTTCTCACTGAGGTAGGCATCATTCAACACATACAGAAACATATTTGTGCATTGCTTTTTCCCCTACCATTCCTCATAAAGATATGGGGGAGGGTGTGGATTTTTCCTGTTCTTTTTCCTCCTTAGACACATTTTTCACTTTTGTAGCTTGAAGTGAGGATAGTCTAGATAAGAACATTTGACATGGATTGAAGAATAATAGAGAAAATAAATGAGAAGTTGATAAAATAAATTATTATCTGTATTATTAGTTTACTGGCATAGTCTGACATTAAAAGTTAATAATTATATAAATGTGACCATTTGTTCTTTTGTGCTTAGCCCTCTGTTTAATGAATAATAGTGAAATGTCTCCTTGGAGGGAATTTAATGCCATAGTACTCATTCACTTTTTAAAGCTTTCATTAATACTGCTTTGTTTGAAGAATGTATTCGTAAGTCATCCCAAACATTAAAAAAGCTCTTGTGTATTTTCCTGTAACAAAGGATTGAATGTATTTATTAAAAATTGAAAATTTTAGAAAACCATGTAGAATTATGAGACACTTAAATTGAATTCTAACATATAGATATGTCCTTTATTTGAACACAGGACTGTGCGTGGGTTGTTGTTTTTTTTTTTTTGATACTTTATGTATTCCTATGCATACATCCCTTCATAGTGCTTGATGATTAGTTACTGAAATCTTTAAATTTTAGCCTTTAAAAATAGAGTTATTTCTAGATACACTGGAAAAGAACAACTTCAGCACAATGTACTATAATTTACAAAAAGGTAAAATTGAGTCTCTAATGCAAATATAGAAGGAACAAATGCCAGACATTTTAATCAACTCTGACTAGTGAAAGAACAGGTAAGATGTGAAAACCAGTTCAGAGCAATTTTTTCCTAGAAAATTAATAAGTATTTATGTACCAACAACTTAGTAGCTGTTTGAACAAATAATGCACAGAAATTGAGTAAAATTTATTTTCTTCTTAAGTAACCAGAATTACTTATAAATAGGACATGTGTGCCTATTGAGCACTGTACAACTTCTCCAACCTTAAAATCAGATTGGATGCCACTTCTCTTATTTTCTGTCCATATTGATTTGAAAAACCAGTTTTACAAAGCTTTGATTTGTTTGCAGGGAATGCAGTACAGTCTAATGGGGAAACTGGACTACCTTGAGCTAGTAGTTCGTGTAGAGTGTGACAGATGTTGCTTTATTTCCCCATCAAATTTAAAATATCCCAGCACACCCCTGTGAATTTGCTGTAGTGCTCTGGGGTGTTTTGGCTCACAGTTGGGGAACTGAGGCAGCAGATAATCCTGTGAGAATTTCCCCTATGTGACACTGAAAGGGCAAACTGTCTTCCATTGGCCTTATTTCAAAGTTTTGAATAAATTTTTTAAAAAGTACCCCGAGGAGCTTCTAAGTAGAACTGTCAAATTTCCTTTCTTAACTTACCTGCTAGATGGTGGCGGTGGTGTTAGTGTCATTGACTGTCCTAGTAGTGTCCATTGATCGATAAACTACACTGTGTTTATCCAAACCGTGCAGAGGGTATAGACTGCTATAGAAGGCCAGTTAACCATGCCACTGTGATCACTAGAGCTACAATATAGCAGATGCTTGAACTTTTTGGCTCAAAACACCTGTAAACATTATTGAGCCCCCAAGAGAGCTTTTGTTTATGTAGGTTGTACTTATTGATATTTACTCTAAAGGATGAAAACCTGAGAAAAGTTAAAATATTTATGAATTTGAAAAATAACAATAACAAACCCATTATATGCTAACACAAATAACACCTTTTTAAACTAAAATAACACTTCTAAAAGAAAACAATATTTAGTCAGAAGAGTGGCACTGGTTTTGCAAATCCCTTTAATGTCTGGCTTAAGGGAAAACAGCTGCATTCTTGTGTCTAGTTCTGCATGTAGTCTGCTGTGACATCACACACCATGTATCCTCTGGAAAACTGCATTGTGCACTTGGAATAAATCAGAGTGAAAAGGATAAATGATGTCTTCATGTTATTTTTAAGATAGTTTTGACCTGCTTGCCTGCTCAGAGTGGAGCTTTACATTCCTATACTTCAAAAATTTCAGCGAAGATGTGGTTTGTCTGCATTTTATTCTTAGGCAGGTTCAAGTAAACTTTTCCTGTGAATGGTCAGATAGTAAATATTTTAGCTTTGCAGGGCATGTGGTTTCTATCAAAATTAGTCAGGTTCGACATTGCACTGTGAAAACAGCTATAGACAATATGTAAGCAACTGGGCAATAGATTGTTCCAATAACTTTACTTACCAAAAAATAGGTAACACAGTGAAACTGGCCCTGGTGCCTAACTTTGCTGACCTCTGCCCTTAAGAGGAAAGTGCTGCCTGGATAGGTTCAGTGACGAGCCAAGAAGCCACACCGCTGGAAAGTGGAGGACTTAGATCAAGGCATTTCTAATTTCACAGCCGCTGTTTTTCCTCAGTTCTTCATGCTGGCATAACTAATAAGGTTAATGATTACAGATTTAATATAGGAGTGTTTATTGATTATAAATAAATTTTAAGATAAAATTAATTACAAAGTTATATAGGGGCTACCATTTAGAATCTCTCTGATTACCTAAGAAATGATTAGATGAGTGTCTTTATCATAATAAATCATATGCACAGCAGTATTCCTCACAGCAGCGCTGGGAGATTGGTGGTAGGCACGGAGATGGTGAGAGAGACCATCTGTAGAGAGGTAAGACTGCTTCTGAGGGACAGAGCTAGATCAGCCTATGTCCAAGCCTCTTGCCCTTAATCTTAGCAAACAAATGAGAAGTACTGTCTTTCTCCAAAAAATGAAAAAAGGTAGAGAAAGATAATGTGTAGACGTTGAATGTTAAGTATGAAATAGTAAAGAAAGAGCAAATAAAAACCAAAATGATTCACTTTTTAGCTCCTGGGCTAGAAAGTCTAATTGCGAGCAATGGGAAAACAATTTGTGGAGAGGAGACACAAAGAGAGAGCTCCAGAGCTGGCTGTGTACAAGGCTTTGAAGGAGATTCCTAATCACACTTTTCTTTTATGACCTTGCTTGCATAAGAAAGCCCCAAGAAGGGTATTTAAATGCACATTTAGAAGGAAGAGAGAGGTTCCTGGCCTTGGGCTTTCTTTCACTTAATAGGTGGTCTGGGCACTTGCCCTAAGGGGCTAAGCTGGAAGCTACTCTATGCCCAACTCCCTGCCGGTAGTCACGTGGTTTGCATCTTTTCCTATAGCTGTCAAACTGTAACAGGTATCTCAAATCAATCTGAATCCTTGGGTCAGAAGAATAGATATCAGGAGTACGGAGAGGTGAGTTTCTGCTTGTCTCTTCAAAGTTTGCCTAAATATTCAGTGACTGGTGCTTAATCGTAAGTTTAAAAATACAGTTTATTTGTGGCATTTAGCCAAATTTAGAATTACAGAGGAGAAGTATGTTACTTTTCCGTCTTTTATTCATTTATCTATTAGGTGAGATACATGAAAAAGAGCATTCTTTTGAAGCTCAAAAGTTGAGCATAGCTAAAACGCTTGAAAGACTTAGTGTTTAACAGTGTGTTTTATTCAAGGGCTGTGAAATGGGAGAAGAGTACAGTAGAGAGATGCATGCTTATAATAAAATATGAGAAAGCTGCTTTGATAACCACATGGCCCTGTTATTGGTCACGTAAAGCTGGGAAGAAAAATGCAATAACAAACCTTATTTTTCTCTGATATAGGGTGAATTAACATTAAGCTACGAAGAATAATTTCATGCATTAAGCTCCATTGTTAGGGAGATCAATAATTGGGTTGATATTTAGAGACGGAAAGGATGGCCATCAGTCAATTAAGAACAGAAGACGATATCCTAACCCCAGCAGAGTTGTAATTTATGTGATTGATAGTAATTTTTTATTTAATGACTTTACTGACGTATATTTGGAAATTGTTCTAATAAGACGTTTAGGTCAAGGTCTGAGTATATATTTATTTACGTTTCTCAGTAATAGATTTTGGGTTTTCACCAAATTTATCTTTTACCGCTTCTCTTTTTCTTCAGCAAATCAGACATTTCCTGAACTCTGATATCTTTTTCGGCTGTTAATTATTTTTATTATAGGGTAATTAATTTTTAGTTCTTGCTGTTCTTTCAGTGTTTGATGGATATACTTAATGACTACATGAGAGAAAAGTAACCTAAGACCAGTTAGTATAAAACTGACTCCAGCAGGACAGTAACCCAGTGAGCAGTCTCATTCCTATTTTCATAAGAAAGCTAGAATGTTGTAACTCAGATATACTTTCCGAGGTCACAGAGCTAGACAGAGCCAGGCTTATAATTTTCCTCTGCTTTTGTAGTTCATTGTACTTTCTGCTATATTACATTGCCTTCTATGATTTAAGTACTTGTAAGTTTTTTTTAATTGGCATTTTAAAAAAAATTATAAAAGTAATACATGTCCCTGAAAAAATTAGGTACTTTTGAAGGCAACAAAAATCTCCCTCTTTTCCTCCCAAGCTCACAAGACAGTTGCTATGAATAGTCGCTTATGTATTCTTTCAGAATTTTATTCAAAAGATTCTAATGTTGTACCTCTGTTATCAGTTTTTCTTTAATCTGCCATTAAATTAAGGAAAATTAAACATTTTCCATTTTAATCCAATTTCCTAGTTTTCAAGTGTGGACTTTCAGATTACTCAATTCTATTTTTTAACAAGGGAATCTGATTTGTTATGTTACCAGAGTTGGAAGGACCTGTGAGGTAAGACAGTCCATTAGCTTTTTAAAATAAGAGGTTAAGTGATTTGCATAGAGCACCACAGTATTTAATTTCACTAAATGTTCCAGCATTTAGATTTCTGTTCTTCCCACTAATCCATACTGCCTCTCAATTCATTTTATAGGCTTAAAAGTGAACCATGTACCATAAACAGACATGTTTCATGTGTGTACTAAAGGAGTCTCTTTACAAAAGCTAATCCATGAGCTAATACCCAGTGCACAGCACATACTTGAATATTTGTACTGAAATTATTTTTCACTACAGTCGTCAAGAAAATGATAGGTTGTACCAGATCATTTTTAAGGACCTTTCCACAGTAAATGTCTATATTTTAGTCTCATTTTATCCTCAGAGAATCAGGCTGTTTTTCTTCAGTGTCAGAAGCTACCAGCAGGCATGAATCTCCTTGTGCCCTGCAGTGTTTGCTGCGCTCAAGGGCCAGGTTTCCTGTTAATCCTTTTCCTCCAGTTGCTTGTTCCAATTAAAGGGAAATTTCACAAATGCAGAAAGTTGCAAAATGGAACCAAGATTGATTAGGCAATATCCACTGCGAATCCCACACATTTCAGATCAGATCACAACTCTGTTCTGCATACAGCAGTGCGCTGATTTATAAGCCAGTAGTCCCCTCTCATACCAGGAGTATAGCTGGAAATAGGGGTTTGAAGTTTGGGGCAGAAAGCTGGCTGGAATTTAAGTGGTGGTCTAGTGTTAGGGGGATAGAGCATGGCCCATGTAAAATAATATTTACTGGCCGAGATTTGGTAGGAATCTCTACTAGGTACAGAAGCTGAAAACTTTTAAAAGTTAAATTTTCTGAAGTGTAAGGAGTCACTTCCCAAAACTGTTGTGAACACTGAATTACCACCTTTGGAGCACCTTTACTAATCTGATTTATTTGAACTCACTGATTTGATTAACAGATTTTAAATGATCCCCTCCACAAAAGATACTTAAAATTTTTATTTTGAACATTAAGTATTAAGTGTTACTAGTTTGGAAAATTGGAAGGTACGTAAAGAGTCTTTATCTGTTCTGTAAATTAGAGTAAGATAAAATCGTAGTAAATAAATATCAGGATGTGAGTGTGAAAGGAGAAACACAATCTACTTGACTAATTTTTTACCACTACTTTCCTTGCTTGTTGGCTGATACAGGGCTTGGATTTTGAAGGTCGACCTTTGAGGACCATTCATACTGAAATTGTAAATGCCTTTTGAATAGGTATTCATCTAAGTAGCATTGATTTTGCTTGAAAGTTTATTTTCATAGGGTACTCTATTTAGAAGAACAAAAGTTACTTTTCTTTTCCAGTGTGTTAGCATATCTGAAACCAAGCTAAAACATGTTAAACTTGAGCAAAACCAATTGAATTATTTGGCCTTATCTGTACTGTGCAAGAGAATGAATTTTAATTCCAACATTTGTCGTTAATTAGTAATCAGTTCTCATTTCATCAAAATTTGTTTAAATTGTTTTAAAAAACAGTTGGATTCAGTCAGTCATGTCTGTTGACTGAACTTAGTTTATAAACTCAGTTAAGCACAAAAAGTTAAGAAAGCATTATTTAAAACAATTTTAAGTGGAGTTAGTGTTTCTCACAGAATTGATGAATATTTCTTTCTTGGAAGCACCTTGACAGTAATTACTTCAGTTCATGAAATTTCATCTGATCTGTTTTCAGAATTGAAAAAATGAAGTTGTCATCATCTGGAAATTAAATGCCTTCAACTATATATGATATTAAATGACTGATGGTTCTTGTTTTCTTCTCCATACCCCTGTGTTTCTTAGTTTTTTATAAAGAAAATATACTATTAATCAGAAAAAAAAATACTGGTCTATTTTTTTTAAGTAAACATGAAATAATACATTTAATTTTCTTCTGAATCTTTATAGTAAAGCACATTTAGTACTCTCTTTTAAAAAGTAGTAACTCTAGTTTATAATTGAAATTGAGTGCTAAATGTAGATATGACCAAAATATCAACTTCTAATTATTTATAAGATTTATTTAACAATGTCAAGAGATAACCCAGGGTCTCAGTGTTGAAAAAGTAATTTAAAATATAATTCATTAGTGATTTCTTTTGAAATTCCTAAAGCACTTAGTCTTTTTAGAGATTTCTGTACTATGTAGGTTTAATCTAGAAATACTTGTGTGTTTTGTATGTCATCTTAATCAACATCATGGCCCCCAGCCATCTTCGAGGCTCTGGAGTACTGTATGCTTCTATGCTAGGTGTGGCACTATGTGGTTTATCACCATCCTTATCATTATGCTGGGTGCCAGGCAAGTGCTTTAGGTGTTTTGAGAGGCACTTCAGTATGGTGCTTAAGAGTGTGAACTTTGTCAGAGTGCCCCTGGATTCAAACCTAGCTTTCCCACTTGCTAGTGATGTGCCCTTAGGCAAGTAAAAGTTACTTAACCTCTTTGTTTTGGTTTACCTGTAAAAGAGAGGTAATTACTATCCCTACATCATAGGATTATTATAAGAATTAAGTAAGTTAATATTTACAGAGTGCTTAGAAGAGTGCCTGACATATTTTATGTTTGCTTATTAGTAAAATGAACATCTCATTTAATCCTCATCATAACATTTAGAGAGAGAGGATTATTTTACAGATGTGGAAAGTAAAGCTCAGAGAGATTATGTAATTTGCTTAAGGTCACATAGCTGGTGATGTAGATCTGGAGTTTAAGTTCTGGGCTGTCAGACTCCAAAAATGTGTGTTGGGATTGTAAATGCCCTTCTTATAATAGCCCTTGCACTTGGACATATCCCCTGGCAGTTATTTTATCTAGTCTAGCCCTTAATGTATTATGTCAACAGTGAGTGATGCTTATGCTTTATACAATGACATAATTATAGTCAAGTGTGCGTGAAAAAGTAATTGGACATAATTCCAGTGGGTAAAAAGGACATATGTGGGATTGCTTTACCTATTGCTAAGATATTAAAAAGTGAAAGTTGTCTAAAATTTATGATACTTAAAACCCATGAAACCCCCTCTTCCACCCCCTCCAGCCTCCGGTCCTGGGCCGGGGAGTTAAATAAGATACATAGTTTACAATAGAGTCAACGATATTTGAATATAGCAAATCCCTGTTTGGGTGAAACAACATTATTGGGAAAGGAAACAATATAATAATCTGAGAAAAATGTATGTTAATATTTAAAAAAAAACCCTGAAACTGATAATTCAAAATACATGCACTAAAGTTAAATGTGGAATGAAACAGTCTCATTAAAAAACATACACCAGAAGAATTTATCTTGGCTGTATTTTAAAATAAAACTGTGAAAAAAAACCCATTGAAGCAATAATAACTTATCTGCATTTTGATGGTTTCATTAAGTACTCGAAAACCAGTGGTACTAAAAAAAGAAAAGCAACAGGCTGATCATGGTAAATGTATCAAGTATAATATCCAGAAAATACTAAAAATGCGCACATCAATTAGACCCTTCTCCTCTGTATAAATGATTTTGATCAATAAAAACAACCACTATTTATGAAGCAAAGACTCAGTTTTAGTCAGTCTCCCCCCCACCATGGTTCTAATTTATAATCAAGTAACAGGAGGGCAGGTTATTAAATGAGTAACGAAACAGTTGAGCTTGATGGAAGAATTCTTCTTCTAGTACCCATACTTTTGAAATTCCCACTCTATTGTCCAGAGACTCACCTGCCATATTTCGAGCCAGCAAGAGATGCAGATGCAGTGGAAGTGAGAAGTGTGCTTTTTCACTTCAAAGTGCTTCTTGCCTGCACTGCTGTTGGTGCCGCTCAGGGTATCCAGGTCCATCGCTGCCGCCGTTTTGGAAAACACCTCAATCAGTCTTTACAATAATTTTTATAACAAACTTTAAAAGAAAAGTATTTTGTTCACCCATCCTATTACTTAAAAGAAATGCAGATGGAAACAAATGGTAAATACAGATTCACATATATTAAAGAAGCAAAAATAAATAAACCGGACAAAACCGAAGCTGGTGACATTTAAGAGTACCCTATACACTTATTCATTGTTACTGTGTGGAAAATGTCAGTAAGTCCAATCTTTCTAAATAGTGATATGATATGGTACCACAAAATGAGAACTGTAAATTTCCTGTTATTCTTTCACCTAATAATACCATTTTTGACAAATGGTATTGTGGGAAAAACTTCTTTTATAGATGTTTCTAGTTGTATTATTTATAATTAACCAATAACTAGGATTTCCCTAATTTTCAATAGTTAAGCAAAAATGTTTGTTCAAATATGAATTTTTCACTGTTGAGATCTTTAATAATATCTAAAATGTATTTCTAAGAATACCAAATGTACATGATGCTTGCATTAATATAAAATTAATTACAAAGATTTTATATAAATCTGTCTGGATACCAGTAACTTTAATTGTAAAATGAAGGTGTGGGACAGAATGGTCTCTGAAACAGATTCTATGAAGTCTGTGAACCAAGGCAAGAGGTGATAGATTCTTATAATTACCCACCCCTACGTGACTGATAACTAATGTGTTAAGCGTAGTGCCCAGTCTTTTGTGTAGGATTTCAATAAGTCAGTGGATAATAGGTGGATAAGTGAATCAATGACTTACCTTGTAGTTTTTTTTTAAATTTTTTCCCACTTTTATTGAGATGTAATTGACCTTAACTAGTATTTATTTATTTTTTTGTGTGAAGCTGGTTAAATATGGAACAAATGATACTCTTGCAGTATTTCTTTTCCAGTAATCCTCTCGTTCATATAAAACTGTAGAAATGAAATATCCTCTTAACATTTGTTGATTAAAGTAAGTAGTACTGTATACTGCTTTTCTAAGCATTTTTCAAGGATTGTTTAATCTTGCTATCAATCCTATTAAGTAACAATTATCCTCAGTTTATGGTTGTAAAACCTAAAGTGCAGAGAGGTTAAGTAACTTACCCAAGCTAAGGGGGGCTGGGCTTTGAGTGTGCATTCTGCTCTGCCATAACTGCTCATTCCTCACTGCCCTTGACTTGGGTGAATTCTGAGAGGTATCTGTTGAGACTGGGGAGCCTGGGCAAGAATGTGGTTCAGGAAGGTTCTTACCACTAGATCAGGCACTTCACATGCTGATTGGAGATTGGGAACCCAGGCCAACTGAAAAAACTCATCAGGACTTGAAGAATGAAGGAAGCTAGGATAGGCATCATCTTTAGAGAAACAGACAAAAGCTAAAATTGTTCTAAGTGGAGGATGAGTTTGGTCAACATGTCCTGGTTCCAGGTATCAACTTTAATAGGGCCGTTCGGGATTCTTTTGGCATTATTATGTTACATTTCCACTACTAAGTTTCTGGCTTGTAAGAAGCATCTGCCTTATGAGCTGTTACAGGGAGAAGGTGTCTGGGTCAAATGACATAGAATCTTTGTATTCCTTGGGCCTTGACTTCTTCTCAGTCACTTTTGGGAGGCAGCACCTTCATCATTCTCATGAATGAGATCATGATATTGGTGCTGCATTCTTTTCAGTACCTTGACTCTTGTGTCCAGTTTATTTCCCAGGTTAAAACCAGAGCTCTCAGGTTGTGAATCTTAATTTAGGGCCCTGCCTTCCCCACCTCCATTATTTCTTATGTCTTGGAAACATAAACTCAACATGGGCCACCATGAGTACCTACAGGGTACTGATGCCAGTGTTAGCATATGGTTGTGCACAACAACAATAAGTATTATTTTAGGTTAGCATCTCAAGAGTTCCAGAAAGAACACAGACTGAATGTCCTTAAAATGTAAATTAAGAATTCAAATCCGAAACAACTGACATTGTGAAAAGCATGCGTGGAAAGTCAATTCAAGGTAGTACACGGAATTCAGATTTCTTATTCTGAGAATAGCTATTGCCAATCCTAAAACAACAAACAGGCATCAGGGGCTAGGGAACAAATTTATAGGCCAGTGATTCTACTGTCCTGTTTACCACAGATCTTGTCAATATTTTGCCCTCCACATTTGGGTTTATGCCAAGGTGAAATTCTTTAATTGATCATTTTAGAAATTCTAAACCATGTATCAGGAGTGTTTATATTTGAAAAATGTTTGAAGAGGTAATCAGTCGAATGCAGTCTTACAGAACGGATTATCAATGAATTCTTATTTTACTGGCATTTGTTTCAGAGGCACTAGTTAAAGAGACTGTGTCTTGTTTAAATGGGCTTTGCTGTTTTAAAGATTCTTCTGGCTTTGTATTGTCAACAGTGTGCTACGCTGTACCATTAGTATTGTCAGCTGTCAGACACATCTGAGGCCCCGAGAGCTCCCTGGTGCTAGTTTAACAAAGTACCCCTACCACCCTGAACCTGATGTCAAATGAAGAGGGCAGTATATAATTTTTGGTGTAATTCCCTTATTTGATCTTCACTCAGATTTATAGGCAAAAGTAGATTTTGATTTAAGGGTTCATCCCGTAAATATTTGTGTCAGTGAGAGTCACATGTAGACGTGATCTTGGTGAAAAGCCTGGTTTTAAGTCAAATACTTTTGAATATCATCTTTCCATCTAACATCTCAGATAATCTAAAGTAATTTAAAAGATGAAGTTAATTCCCGTGAATGATCCCTTTGTTGCCATTTATTGAGTCTTGCTG